ATGAACCCCCCCAAAGAACAAATTGATATTGGAAGAAAAGCAGCCTGAGCGATCCTTAGAAGAATGGTAAGTCTTCATCTCACATACTTTGGACACGTTATCCTGGAGAAGGACATAGTGCTTGGAAAGATATTGAGAGTATAAGAGAGGAGGAGATGAATTGACATGGTGACTAGGACAAGGAGCTTATGTGCTGCAGAGATGGTGAGGCAAGTTTCATTCAGTCGTCCATAAGGTCACTGAGTTAGAGCCTCTTTGAACATGTCTAACAACACAGTGAACCTTATACAAGATTTTAAATCAGTGAAGTCTTTCTAATAATCGTTCATGAAAAAACAGAAATATCCGACTACTATTTCTTTTTGCAGTGGAAGGCAACTTAATGGACAGTTGTTCTTCAATATTCTTGTTTAACAGTTGAAATTTAGATCATTACAAAGTGGAGTAGTTTATGTATGGAATTTACACAGGCCACTGTGTTTCTGTGCCATTTGCTTCACTTAAGTTGAACTCTATGACTTATAGTAAACACCATCTATTTCTCACCTCAAGGTTGTTATTTGTTCTTAGTTGCTGTCTAGTGGAGTATGGCTCATAGTGACTCTGTGAACAACAGATCTGAGCCCTGTCCTATCCTGTGCCATCCTCATTGTGTTGGACACACTTGAGCCCATTGCTGCATTCACTGTGTCAACCCATTTCATTGTGTGTCTCCTTCTCTTTCACAGACCCTCCACTTTTCCAAGTATAATGTCCCTTTCCAAAGAATAGCCTTTCCTAGCAACATGCCCAGAGTATGTGAGACAAAGCTGCGTCTTGTCTCCATGAAGAACTCCGACTGCACTTTCTCCAAGACATATCTGTTTGTTCTTTTGGCAGTCCATGGGATATTCCAACTCTTCTCTAACACCACAGAAGCGTCAGTTCTTCTTCTGTCATCCTTATTTGTTACCCAGCATTCAGATACACAGCAAGTGACTAAAAAGACCATAGCCAGAGTCACGCACACCTTAGTCTTCAAACTGACATTATTACTCCTCAGAGACTTGGAGAGGGAGGTTTATGGGTAGTATCAGTGGAGTTTATCTTTCAATATGACTTTTCTAGCCATTGACTTCTACATTGCCATGGCATGATCATGGGCGAGAATACGTGAATAAGATGTGTTAGCCTATGCACAAGGGGATTGGCTAGTATCACCAATCAACGAGGGGATTGGTTAGTCTCTCCATTAAATTGAGTGGGTCCAGCAGCAGAAGGAAAAAACCTCACTGCCAGGGAAAGGACAAGCAAGAGGGCCTACAGGACCACAGTGGAGAACCAGAGACCTGACATGAGATGGGACCTTGAGACTGCTACACCAAGGGGACCCCAGCTAACAACCTTTGCCCAAGCTTGTTGGACAACTAGGATTGGGGAGAGCCAATATTAGAGGAACTGAGAACTTTGTTACATGGGCCTCAAGCCACGAGGCTGAAGACTGAGGTGGCTGTGAGCATATTTTAGAAGTTGTTCTGATTGTATGCTGCTACTAACTTGGGTTGTAACCTTTTGACTTTCCCCAGTATGGTTCTGAGTGGTCTGTGAGCTACTGCATTGGATTTTGGACCCAGTACAGCAATAATATTGGTGTTGAGATGAGTAGAAAGGGGTATGAGGGTGTAGGGATGTGTCTGACCTCATGGGAGTTGGTTTTGTGTTGTTGATGATGTTGAAATATTTCATCTTTGTGAAGTTGGTAAAGGTCAGGTATGGCTGCCCCACAGGGCCCTTGCTCTTTTTACAGCATCCTTTCACTCACAGCATTATACTTCAAGATAAACCTAGAAATGTGCTTTTTGATGATGAATGTCATACAATTCCTTTTCAATTTGTCATTCCTGATATAGTAGATCATAATGCTTGTCTGATTAGAAATGGCCAATTCCAGTCTATATCAACTCACTGAAGTGTAGGATGGTTAAATCTGCAGTCAAGGACTTCTCCAAATCTCTGAGGAGTAATAATGTCAGTTTGAAGACTAAGGTGTGCCTGATTCTGGCTATGGTCTTTTCCATCACTTGATGTGTATCTGAATGCTGGGTAACAAAGATGACAGAAGAAGAACTTATGCCTCTGAGCTGTGGTGTTAGAGAAGAGTTGTTTTTTTTTTAATCAGTTAAGCATTTAACTTCATTTTTTACAACTTCTAATTTTCCTAGATTCAGACTTCATACATTATAGATGTTTAATAAATTAATAGATGTTTAATAGATTAATAGATGTTTACAGCAGTTTATTGTCATTTTGAGTCTTACCACATCAGCAATTGAAGGTCTTCACTGGGTGAAAGCTGTACTCCATCCAAGTGCTATGGTTGACTCTACTTTGAAGAGGCAGCTATTCTCCAGTCACATTTCTGGTACCTTCCAACCTGAGTGTCTCATCTTCCAGCCCTGTACTCAACAGTGTTCTTCTATTATCCATAGAGTTTGTGTTATACAGATGGCATATCCTTGCTTTCAGAGAATGAAGAAGACTTGAAGTACTTACTGAAGAAGATCAGGGCCTTCAATATAGATTACAGCCCTACAGTCAAGAAAACAAAAATCCTCACCACTGGTCCAATACACAACGATGTGACAGACCAAGAGAAAAGACTGAAGTTGTCAAGGATTATTTTTTTTTCTTTTCTAAGAGAAAAGTGAACTGGGGGAGGGGTGGGCAGGGAGGAAAAGATGCAACAATGAATGGAGATGCAAAGTGTCTGTGAACTTTCATTAAAATCTCAATTAAAACAAAGAACAGATGCTTTTGAGCTGTAGTGTTGGAGAAGAGTCCCATGGACTGCCAAGAGGACAAACATATGTCTTGGAGAAAGTGAAACCGGAGTCCTCCTAGGAGGCAAAGTTGGAGAGGCTTCATCTCACATATATGGGCATGTTTCTAGGAGAGACTGTTCATTGGGAAAGGACATCATGCTTGGAAAGGTTGAGGGTCAGAGAAAGAGAGGAAGACCCTCAACGAGATGGATTGACACAGTGACTGAAGCAATGGGCTTAAATGTGTCAGAGATTGTGAGGATGGCACAGGATAGGACAGGGTTCAGATCTGTTGTTCATTGGGTTGCTATGAAGTCATATTCAACTCGATGGCGCCTAAGAGTAATGATACTCAATTGCTATTATGAACCACTGCGTGTCTTCTGAATTGTGGTCGATAATTACAGGTTATATGTTAGTCAGCTGTTCATAACCTGGGGCCTTCCTGCACTACAAAATTAACCCAGAGATGTAGAAAGTGGTCTGTCCTGGACCACTCAAACAGTGATCCCCTTTCTGAACAGCTAATAAGCTAAGAACAAAGTGTCAGAAGTAAATGTGGTTTGGAAAAAATCTTGACCTTGTAAAGTAAATACACTGACCACATGATAATTGATTTTGTATTTTACAAACTTTATTAAATAATGGGCATTACTAACTTTCATTATCTTATATACAGTATTTAAACTATGTTTTCCTGTATGTATTTTTCACAGGGTAGGTGTAAAGCGAACTTACATATATATATATAAAAAATTGAACCATCAGTACAGGGACCTAATAAGAACTTGACATACATTTAAGTACATATAATGTCTCCCCTCCAATTATATACACTCCCATCCCACCTTCAGAAGCAACTATTTTAGACAGAAGCATTTTACTGATAACTTTGAGGAACAATACTACCATGACTATGTATATACATAGAGCTCTCAAAGTCTGCATCCTGGCCAAGAGGAGTGACTGGTGATTTTTAACACCAGTTAAGGAATGTTCTAAGACATGAAGCCCGCCATAGAAGCCACTGGATACAGTGAGACAGTCACCTTCAAGCATGGAAGTGTATTTGCATAGCTTCCATCAAAGCCATGCAGCAAGGAAGACACTGTTGTGAAGAATGAGTAATTTCTGAGATTAAGACATAGCAATAGGGCAGAATTTGGGTGAAAAGTCAAAAGCAGAAATGAGAAATGGCTTTCCTGGGACAAGAAAATTTAGGTAATGTTGTTTTTTGGTTTGGTTTGGTTTTTTTAAGTAGGTAATGCAAAAGCATTTCTAAATACCTCTAGTAAATTCAAGAAATGCTTTCTGGTACTTTTCTTCTCTGCTCCTGCTTAATCTTGAAAACTTACATGATGTTTAAATAAAGGCAATGAAAGAAGGTGGTTTTCTTTTTAGAAATTCTTAATTGTAATATGAGGCAAAAAATCTAGCTGCTTCTAGAGGCCTTTTCATTGTGTCTCAAAATTAAGACTCTGTACTTTACTGAACATCGATTTAAGCTGGGAATGGAACCATTTATTTCACCCAGAAATCATGAAATAACTGACAAGAGCAGCACATTATCCAGGCCTTGTCCAGGAATACAGCACTGGGTTTTGCTCAGAGTGGACGGTCCTGCTACATTCCAATGTTCCACAGTCACAATTTCTGTATTATTAAGACCTGATATTCGAGAACTGGCTTAGAGACTATGACATGGGCAAAGAGACTGCACTCCAGTTAGAGAGCTCTGCTTATGCTAGCCTACGGTCTTACTGTGATTGTAACCACAAAGTCAGATCTAAGAACAATCCTTTATTTCTTTTCCCCTTTAAGACACCTGAAAAAGCATCCTTGCTGTGTGTGGGCCCTAGGATCCTGCCAATACTGGTGGATCATTGCATTTCTGGGCACTGTTGTCCGGATAAAATATCATGGCCATCAGGTTTTAAAAAAATAAAAGCCTAAAAAAATCTTCAAGTAAGACTGACTTACATGAAACAAAGAAAATCAGCATCATGAAACACACTGTTAGATGCTGAGGTCGGCTACCATACAACCTGGCTGGCTATCAGCTGTCTCAAAAAGTTGTGCTGTAAAGGAAAGTATATTACACTCTTAGGGTTATTACAAAATTGCTTTCACCTGGTACATATAAAACAGCCGTAACTCAGGAGACTCAGAAGTCAGTTCGCACAGCTGTCATTGAGGACTTTAGGCAAAGCTGCTTGAACTTAGACACTGAAATTTTTCCCGTAGAGACTGGACGATGTTTTGTTGGTTGGGAGAGGGCCCCCTCCAGAGATAGTCATCCAGTTTGTCAGAATCGCTGTAGGCTGTCAGATAGGGTGAGAGACCAAGTTTGCTACTCATGGGCTTCTTGGGAGTGCAAGGACTGTTTAAAGCGTATGACGGGCTGCTGCTGTAGACGTTATCAAAGGAGTCAGCCTCCGCCAGCCTTGGGTCAGACCTCCTACCTTCATGCGCTTGCTCCAACTCCACCTCTTCTTCTGACTTGATTTCCACATAGTCATCTTCATCTCCTTCCGACTCTTTGAAATTGGAGAAATAGTTCTGGGTAGCTATGTGTGCACTCAGGGGGAGAATTCTATTCACTACTAGAACTTTCTGCGAGTCTTGGAGCGTGAGCTCGGGGTGTTTTGCAGAGCCCTGGTGACAGGGGTCCACACCGATCGGCAGCAAATCCTGGTGACCGTCACAGCCGGAGCTGGTGTGTGAAGGCAGCAGGTACTCCTTCTCCGTCTCTCCCGGGTAGCTGATGGAGTCCCCTGATCTGTTCAGCAAGATTGAGGAGGACGACTGGGACCTGCCGTAAGGCTGACATTTAGCACTGATGCCTTTCCGGCCCAGAGAGTTGTAAAGGTGGCCCGGACACAAACTCTCCTTGTTGGGCTGACTTACTACCACGCTGTGTCTCTGCATGGGGCCCGGCAGAGGGTCACTGGTCTGAAGAGACGGCACAGAGCACGCTGTGGACAGTTGTCTGGGAGGACTTTTTGTACTGATTTCTAGAGTGGAATATTTGGACTTCACGTTTTGCTCTGGCTGGGGACAGAAGTCGACTAATTCTCCGTTACTGTAGGTTGAATGTAAAAGCCAGTCTTCGCTGCCGTGTTGAGCCTGGGAAGGCGGCGTGGCCCTGAGGCCGGAGGGTTCTTGCTGGCCGGCCCAGCTGTCCTTCTCAGCTTTAAGGGGAGGCTCTCGGAATACAATCTGGTCATAGAGTTGGGAATACTCGGCAATCCTGGCACCTGGAGAGAAAATACGGAAACATAAGAAACGTAAGATTGGTCCTTTATACAAAGATATTAAAAATAAGAATAATCAGTGTATTTACAAAACTTAAACAACGGGCTGAGCTTTTAAATGAGGAGGAGTAATTACTGAATACCATGCAACACAAATGAATAAAATAATTTGTAGTTAAATAGAAATAAAAATGTCACCTGAAAGCTCACTTTATCTAACTCTGGATTACTGCATTTCCACAGTGGGTCTGCAGGTGTCCACTATAACTAACAGCTATTTCTGCTGTTCTTTGTAAGTATGACATAATAGCGTCGATGCCGGGAACAAGCAACGTAAATAACACAGTGAGCTGCAAACCCTGGTCATTACAAGAAGCATGAGCAGAAGTCACGATGCAAAGGTACCACTGACTTGTCACTTCTCCTGTAGACCAGTCCCTCCATCATCTGCTCGTGGTGTCTATTCTGGGTGTGTCCTATTTCCAGACAATCCTCCGTAGCCACTGTCTGGGACACTGATGTCTAGAAAAGGACCTTCCTTCTGGTACTTCAAAACACAGACATTGACTAACTCGTATCACCTTTCCATCCCCCAGAAGCCAGGCACTAAAGTCTCTGCCTTCCAGACATCAAGAATGACCCATCCGGGCATCTAGTCAGATGCTCTCTAGTGTTGCTTTCAGATCAGAACTTGCCATATACTTCCAGAAAACTTGTATCATATAAAATTAAACTATGGGGGCATTCTCCCTCCTCAGCCCCACTTCAGAGCAGACATTTTTAAAAACGTTAACTGAACCTGCAGGTCCCATGTCATGCAATGTGGGCAAACGGTATGCTTCAGTTCTTATTAACAATTCTATATTTCAATTCTTTGGGTTTTAAAGTGTAAATACCTTGGAAGGACAGAGATTATAAATTCACAATTTCTAGTGACAAAAGCTAGAGATAATGCTGTTTTAAAGGACATAGTAAAAACTCTTAATACCAATTAAACTCCGTCTACGACTCGACGGCATTAAACAACAAACAAAACAATATGAAATTTGAAGGCCAAGGTGCCCATTTGCCAAAACCTGTTGCCCTCAAGTCAACTCCAACTCGTAGCCACCCTATAGGACAGAGCAGAATGGCCCCATTTTTTCCATAGGGTAGTAAGTAGATTTGAACCAGTGACCTTTTGGTTACCAGCAGGGCTCCTTTGTGTCCCTCTTGCCAACCCCCAAACCAAACCTATTGCCAAGGTGTTCATTACAACACCTAGCAGCCCTGCTGGATGGAACAGAACTACCCGGAGTGTTTATAAGACTGTGATTCTTTACTGGAGCAGACTTGTGGTTGTCTCAGCTGACCTTTGGTTAGAAGCTGAGCAGCTTCACTACTGTGCCACAAGGGTTCGTGTGCCCATTGTAAACACCCTGACATACAGCTTCTCATCTACTCTGACACCCAACAATAGGCAGCTGGACCTTCCGATACCATCGCTGGGTGGCAGTCCAGCCTGGAAATGAGATGGTTCAAATCATTCTCACTAACACCTTGAGCCTGACCTCATATCTATGCACAAAGATTCTGAACTTTCACTAGGTTAGAAGAAGATGATGGTTTTGGGGAAAGCAGGATGAGCTTTAAAAAAACAAACAAAAATCAGTTCATTTATTTCAGCACCAAAACACAAGACCAGCAAAAAACATGCTGGGTCTGTTAATCTTTGAGAGCACGTATTATCCTAAGAAACCCATAGTATTGCTCATTCCTCTTTTATCCTTACCATACTCTCCTCTCCTTCAGCTTGATCAAATCTATTCCTTTCTCAAGACCTGCCATGTATCTCTTCTTAGAATCCCCCTTTATAACAGATTGCTCTGCTCTAAAGCCTTACGTGCTCAGTGTGTGTGTCCCAGAACTTAGCTACTGGTTACACACACACACACACACACAAACACATACACATTCACACACACTTGTGTCGCTAGCTGTTTAATATGTGCTAGTTTATTATTTCAGCTTTACATTTTGGAGAACAACACTATATTTTCTTCAAATTTCTGTAAAGCAGTCTCTTTTTTTTTAAATGTTATTATTTTTTGCGTGTGTTCCATCGAATCAGATCTGACTGGCAGAGGAGGAGATTGCCCCTCCTTCTCCAGTGGAGCATCTGGTGGATTTGAACTGCTTGCCTTCGGGATTGCAGTGCAGCTGTTTGCCACTAGACCACCGGAGCTCCCTGCAAAGCAGTCTTAATGGTGCTTCATCATGCATAGAATTTTGTTACTGCCCTTTTTTGTATTAAGGACAGCGCTATAATGGGTGTCTTTCCAAAGGGTGGAACGGCAGGATGGGAAGCCAGGGCATTGGAGAGAAAGAAGTAGAGAGCTGACTTTTGGGTAAAGGGCCTCCTATAAAAGTCAGTTAATCTGACGCACAGGAGCCCTGCAGGATAGACCAGAACTGGCCATGGGGATTCTGAGGTTGTATATCTTTAATGAAGTAGGCTGTCACGTCTTTCTCTCATGCAGCAGCTCGTGGATTCCAACCACTGACCTTTTGGTTAGCAGCCAAACACTTTAGCAACAGGGCCAGCGGACCTCCTAGACTCCCCACTGTTAACTCCCAAGGCTGTTGGTGGTGGCTGCCAAGGAGCCGGTTGTCATTCATGGCTGCCCCATGTGGGTCAGAGAGAAACGGGTTTTCCATAAGGTGGTCAAGGTGATTCAGAAACCCACTGCCAGACGCACCTTCTAAGTTACCTCTGCTAACCTTTGCGGTGGTAGTTAATCACTCAACCACTCAGGGAATCCCGTATAGAACTCATAATAGGTAGAGTTTATCTTTGGATAACAAAAAGTTAACCATTTAACAACTTAGAATAAAAAAAGTCTCACCAAATAGACAGTATACTATGCCTTCCAAGTTACGTGGGGGATGTGTGTGTTTGCGTGTGTGAACTTGACACAAGAACTGACTCCTCGCTGGCCCTCCAGCAGGCCTTCTGAGGCTGTAAATCACACGGGGGAAGACTGTGCATCTTCTCCCCTCAGAGCAGCTGGTGTGTTCAGTCCCACCGCCTTGGGGTTAGCTGCACAATTCCCTACCCACTAGGTCACTAGAGTTCCCTAACTTGACATGAGACAGTCTGTAATCTGATGCCAGCGTGGGTGACAGACAGCAGCAGCCATCATTAGACAGTCCCTGAGTCAGCCCCACAGGAAAGAGTCTTAGGTGGCACCTCGACCTAAGAGCACCTGGCGTCATCAGCTGAACGAAGCTCAGCCTTAGTCCTGGTATTAAGAGTCTCTATAGAACATGGCCTTTTGTTCAGAGGGTTGCTATGAGTTGTGCTTGACTTGAAGGCAATCAATAACAACAACAACAACAACAACAAGAACGAACATGTGCATTTTCTTTACATGACAATCAGGGTTGTCTATGGTTCATTTACCTTTTTATATTACTATTATTTATTTGTATGTGTGTGTGTACCATTAAATTAGATCTGACTGGCACAGGAGGAGATTGCCCCTCCTTCTCCAGCAGAGCATCTGGTGGATTTGAACCACATTCCTCTCGGATTGCAGTGCAGCTTCTTGCCACCAGGCCACCAGAGCTCCCTCATCTTTTCCCTTTTCCTGCATGATTTCAAGGCAGAATGCGTACAGTTGCAGGTAAAAATGTCAAGTGATCAGCAAAGTATGAAGCATATAGTTTCAAGGCAGAAAGTTAAAAATCAATGCTCTGACGTACTTCTCAGATACAAACATAAGATGTGATTCTGCCTCTCCTTCATTTCACAAGGAGGAAGCTTTCTCTAATAGCTACGGAGCTTTCACCCAAGTGATACAGCACCCCAAAACAGGACCCCAAAGACTTTGCTGGCCTCAGACTATCCAGAGGCAGGCTAACTGACAAGATGACCATGCCTGCTACAGCAGGCTCTGACATGGGCGAGCAACTAGACCTGGTTGGGTGATTTCTGGGCGGATATCTGACCCTGGGGCCTGTAGACCCTGCTAGAGAGGTCAAGAAAGATGTTGGAGAGTTTCGGCAGGCGAACAGGCTGCTCCTCGTTCCGTACAACACCGAGAGCAAGCTCCGGGCAAAGTGGCAAGGCCCACACGGAGAAGTCTGGAGACTCGGTCCATTCGATTACGACGTCCTGTGCCCAGATAAACGAGAGAGAGAAGAGGGGGCATCACGTCAACTGGGGGAAAGCCAAGTGGGCACAGGAAGTGGTCTCGAGCCACGAAGGCGGAAGAGGGGGCTGGGCCCCAGTGACGGCCGGCTGAGGGACATGGCAGGGAGGACACCACACTGGGAAGACAACTGTGGCCAGGTCTCCTCTCAGGTGGGACGTCGAGAGTGGCCCCCATGTCAAGAAAGGACCCTGACACAAAGCTGAGGAGTGAGACGCTGGGGTCCCAAGAGGTGAAATGAAAAGGAGAGCACACTTGAAAAGAACAGTCCCAACTGGGAATCAGTGAATATTTAATGAAAAGGTAAAAAAAAGGTGGTTAAGATTCAATCTCGAAAGGACAGACTTCTAAACAGGCTCAAATTCTTTCTATGAACAGTGGGTGACCAATTCCAGATAGCCAGGCCCAAGCTGAGACTACTTATTGAATGACATTTTGCTGGCATAATTCAGTGTCACCAGAAGCAGTAGTAGCCTATCTCCTCTGATTCTTAGAAGCGGCATGAAACCTGGCCCACCCTAGATTCAGTCCGTGCTCTGAATTGCTAATTTGCTAACACCTAACTGTTTCCAGCTGCCAACTACTCCAGAAAAACATGGTCCTTCCGCAGCTGGGAACTCTCTAAGCAGAACCCAAACCAGTTTAATAGCACTAGCTTTGCAAAAAAGAACATCAGTTAATTAAAACATACGAGGAGAAAACTGCTTGACATAGTCACTCACACATAGGTACAAAATCACTTTAAACCTTTCTTTTATCAAAAAACAAAACAAAACACAAGAAGAGCTCCAGGGTATCAATTCTAGGGCTTGCTTTCTTTGTTTTGTTAAGAAACTTTATCATTTCAGAAGGAAGACCTTAGAATTTACTTAGGAAAAGCGAGGGGGGGTGGGGGGAAGTAAATCTAAAGGGGCCCCGCAGTTCTACTCTAACACACATGGGGGCGCCCTCAGCAAAGCTTTATTGTTCCAGAAATCCTACAGGGAACCTGCGTTTTATTGCATTTCTATGTATTGCGCTTCAGAGATAACTGCATATTTTATACAAATTAAAAGCTGGTAGCAAAACGTGCGTGGAGCAAATCTATTGATACAGTTTTCTCAACATCGTATGCTCACTTTATGTGTCTGTGTCACCCTTGGGTTCTCCTCATAGTATTTCAAACTTTTTTCACAATACCTGTTTGTTAGACACCGTCGAGTTGAATATGACTCCTACCAACCGTATGCATAAAGGATCCAGTGTTGTTCTATCCTGCGCCATCCTCACACTTCCTGACACACAAGAGCCCATTGCAACAGCCACCGCATCCATCCACCTGGTCAAGGGTTTGTCTCTCTTTTGCTGCCCCTCCAACCTTACTGTTCTTCATTTCAACTGACCTCCAATCTGGGCTCTATTACTATGCTACGATAACTATCCACATTCTTCTAGTGTTCATAGGGGTTTCAAAGGCCTGTTATTTAAGAAGTGGGTCCCAGTCTTGCTTCTAGTCTGTCTTAATCTGGGAGCTCTATCAAACCCTGTCCCCCATGGGTAACCCTTACGGCATGTGGCACACTAGTAGCATAGCTTTCAGAATTTCACAATACTTGTTGTTGATTGCCGTTGAGTCAAGCATGACTCATAGCGACCCTATGAACAAAAGGCCTGAAGCCTTTCTATAACTATTGACATTTATCAAAGTTCAGAGAGTTTCCAGAGGCGTGTTGTTAAAGAAGTGGAGGACACTCCTGCTTCCAAATACTAGGACACACTTAATAGTCAATTGCCATTCAGCTGGAGCTGACTCATAGCTGACCTTCTAGAAGGTTTTCAGAGTAGGTTTTGTTTTTAGGAGGCTGTAAATCATATCACACAGGAGGCGGATGCCCATCTTTCTCAGAGAAAGGGCTGGTGGGTTGGAACCAGGAGGGCAGCAGTACCCCGGGGTGAGGAGCACAGCTCTGTACAGACGAAATCAGCAGAGCTCCTTCCCTAGACCATGGTGGCTATGTACTATTGAGTCAGAAATGACTCAGAGCTGACCCTCCAGTGGGTTTTTGGAGGCTTTAAACTGTGTGGGAAGATGTTGCCTATCTTTTTCCTGCACCAATTAAAACTACTTGCCTTTGGGTTGACTGCACAACTTCTTACCGCTAAGATACCAGAGCTCCTAATAGTCTATCATCCAACATAAACAAAGCTTTTATATATGTGTGCCCTAGGTAACAACAGCAACAACAACAAAAAGGTGATGAGCCTTGCTTTATTGTGCTATTTGCTTTATTGTGGAAGTCCAGAACCAAGATCCATAATCCGTACCCCTTATTGAAAGATATGCTCTTTCCCTGTAGTCACTGTTCATTTCTGTCCTTTAGAACCCTCTCTAAAGTGGTCAGGAGACGCATCCTTCTTCCTGGTAAAGGAAAAAGCGAAACCAGGAACATCTTGCTCCCTTAACTCTAATCTTTTTGCATTGTACCCAAGATCTTATTGGTTTAAGTTCTGCCCCTAAAAGAGGCCAGACTACAGAGTTTCCTTTCTTGATTGATAGAGAAGCTGTGGTATATTCACACAATGGAATACTATGCTGCATTGAAAAACAAGGAACTCATGAAATATTAAACAAAATGTGCAACCCTGGAGGACATTATGCTGAGTGAAATATCTCAGTCACAAAAGGACAAATACTGCATAATGTCACTGTTGTAAAAGAGGACTGACACTGGGGTTGGGGGGAACATAAGAAAAGAGGGGATAAATAATGTATACTGCATTGAAATAGATGCAGGAGAGAATTGTTCAAAAGGAATATAGAATTACATAATATTTTCATGACAAGATTATAGAAAATGAAAAGTACAGTAAAGTGAACTGTGGACTTGGGAGGGATTGTATAACAAGGAAAGATTTTTTTTTCTTTTCAAAGAGAAAAACTAATGGGGGAAGCATTGGCAGGGAGGAAAATGTGCAACAATGAATGAATGGGAAAAAAATGAAATGGAATGAATATACTATAAAAAAACCTAAAACAAAACAAAAAACACATCTGAGAAAAGCAGATGAGATAGTGGCTATGCTTTACAATGGCTAATTTAAGGAGTCAAATCCCAACCAAAATAAAAGAGAATACAGCGGAGAGAGTTGTAGTGTGAACAGTTAAGGCAAAGGCCAGAAAGGCTCTGTTTGTTTGTTTGTTTTAGTTGGAATGTGTAGGCGCTTTAGTGGGATTCTGAAATCAGGAGCAGCCCATGTTTCCAAACCTTGGAAGCTCTTTCATGACCTGCTCTTCTCAAAGAAATTACTGAAACACACATTCACACTGATTGCTGTTTTTCAGAATTGAAATGACTTAAAAAAAAAATCTCCCTTTTTGTTGAAACATCAATCCTGGAGTGACAGTGTTACACACACAAGAAGGCCAGAAAGGCTCTGTTTGTTTGTTTTAGTTGGAATGTGTAGGCGCTTTAGTGGGATTCTGAAATCAGGAGCAGCCCATGTTTCCAAACCTTGGAAGCTCTTTCATGACCTGCTCTTCTCAAAGAAATTACTGAAACACACATTCACACGGATTGCTGTTTTTCAGAATTGAAATGACTTAAAAAAAATTTCCTTTTTTGTTGAAACATCAATCCTGGAGTGACAGTGTTACACACACAAGACCAAACAGGCTGGTCTTTCCCCCTTCATCTGATGCTCTTGGAAGCATGGGAAGATGATAATGACCGGGCCACCGCTCTTTGATAGCCTAAGCCTTTGTCTGGCAATGTGATTGCCTGCATACTGGTTTCCAGGACATTTTTGGAAGGTGAAATCTGCGCTCACATCTTACTACCAAGAAGGAAGAAAGCAGGGTTAACGTACCAATGGCGGCCCCTCCTTGCTTCTTCTCCTCCAGGATGGCGGCCAGGTCTTTGTGCACCGAGTGAGGCTGCGGTGGTTGTTCCAACTCCGGACTTTTCACCTTTAACAGCTGATTCGCCTTCTTGATCTTCTGGCTGTACTGCCGAGCCATCAAGAAAACCCTGCTTTTCGTCTTCTCTGCGGCCTCTGCCCCTGACTCAGGGGCGTCTGGGTCCATCTGGGACAGCCTGCTGCTGGCCAGGTCGTAGGGATTCTCCATCACAGGCATCTCGCTGGCCAGAGAGAGCCGGTTAAGACTCACACAGGAGCCTTGGTGAGGAGTCAGGTCTTCGGCCAGCGGGTGGTGGGCCTGGCTAGCCGAGCAGGGCCTGGTCCGCAGGGGGCTGAGGAAGGTGTGGCTCTCGGGCAGGGAGAAGGTGGAGGTGGAGGTGGACGTGGGGTAAGCAGCAACCTTGCCCAGCTCGGGCGTGCTCCCCACGTGCAGTCTGTCCCCCACGTCGTCTTTGCTAACGGGAAAGGCAGCCAGGAGGCGCTCTCTGGTTTTGTCTTCATTTTTCTTGATGTAGTTTTCGAGGTCATTCCAGATCTCGTCGACTTCTTCGGACAGTTTGTCAGAGATGGCCTTGTCGGCCGCCGACATATTACACCTGGGGGAGTCGTAGAGCAAGCTCAGATAGTCCTTCTCGGGGGCTCCCTGGTGGAAGGGGGCTTCGTCCTCGCTCAGCTGCAGGCTGTCCTGAGACACGAAGGGCCTCAGGCTGTCACAGCAGGCGAAGTCGGCCTCCAGGCCCAGGAAGATGCCCTTCTTTGACCGTTTGAGGCTGCTGCACTTGAAGTTCAGTGATGACGGTTCGGGGAGCCCGATGGTGTCATAGATGTTTTCTTCGACCGCCTTGAGGTCACGAGTGCTCTGGCTGGACGCCTTCCTGCCCGGCAGAGTCCCATCTCTTCGCGTGTGAGGGGTCCCCTGCTCTTGGCCACTCTGCCTCTTGGAGGAGGCTAACTCCAGGGTGCTTTTGGGGCGAACAGAGTCCTTGGCTGATTTGGGGGCAGCGGACTCAGCTTCCTCTCGTTTTGCCACCATGAGTTTTAAGTCTTCGTAACTTATGTTGTCATAGACGTGGTCAATGTCATCAAGAGTCAACTCAATAGAGGACCCGAAGGAGACCATGGCGTCCTGCCCCTCGGCGGTCGTGCCGTTGGGCAGTTCCCCCCGGGGGCTGTACTGAGAGCCATCGCTGGTCCTGACCCTGGTCTCGGGGCCACACGTGTTGCTCTCCCCGGCACTGCTGGCCCTCCTCACCACCCTGTGGCCCGAGCTGGAGGCCTCTGTGGACGGGCCCTGCCCCAGATGCCAGCTGCAGGGGCGACCCGACGTGCTGTTGTCCTCACTCAGCCTGCTGGAGTTCAAGTCTGAAGAGGAGAAGGAGGGGACGAACATCTGGTAGTCGTCCTCGTCGTCCTCGTTCTCCTGCGGGGACCGCCGGCTGGGGAACAAGGCCTGCCGGATCTGGTGGTCTGTCCAGAGGCTCCTCACAGCGCCGCCCCCGCCCAGCACGCTGAGGATGGCGGAGCTGCTGGCCTGACTGCTCCTTGGGGTGGGAGTGGGCCCTGCCGAAGCCAGCTGGGGGGTCCTGTCCTCTCTGGAGGCCTAGGAGGTCAGAAACACAGCAAGTGAGTGACGACACGACAGAGGAGATACACAGCACGTGGCATTCTCCTATAGTGACACATTATCTTCCCTCTAGACTAGGGAGCTCTGGTGGCCTAGTGGCAAGAAGCTGTGCTGCAATTCCGAAGGCATATGGTTCGAGGCCACCACCAGCTGCTCTGTGGGAGAAGGATGGGCAATCTTCTCCCTGCAATTAACTGCCTCTTACAACCCGCTGGAGGGTCTGCTATGGGTCAGTTCACACTCACGTTAAACAATAGACTAATACCCCCAATTATAATAGTGAACTATTACTATGAAGAACAGGGCACTCTCATGGCTAGTTGTTATGTGCCAGTGAGTCACCTGAGACCCATAGTGACTCTATGTACAACAGCTCCGAAGCCTCCCTGTCCTCAGTCTCCCTGACTCTGATGCCCCCACCCCTCACTGTATCAATCCTTCTCATCTAATCATTAGTTTCTGCTTACAACTGTTCCTCCTCCTTTTTGTCTCCAAATTTGAGGGCTCAGCCTCAGATGTCTTATCTGTTGTTCTGCTCATGGCCTAGTGGTAAGGAATTGTGCTGCCAACTCACAGGTACAGAGTTCCACAAGCTGCTGTGAGGGAGAAAAAAGGGGAGTCTCCTCCCATGTGATCAACTGTCTCAGAAAAGTCACTGGAGGGTCAGCTATGGGTCGGTTCCAACTCAATGACACACAACAACAAGATGAAGAATATGAATAACTATAACATTAATGATTATTATTATTCTCTGGTGGCTTAGTGGGCAGGAATCGTGCTGCCAACTCAGAGACATGCAGTTTGAGTCTATCAGTTGCTTCACTGGAGAAAGGTGGGCAATCTCTTCCTGTGTGATTTACGGCCTCTGAAAACCTGCTGGAGGGGCGGCTATGAATTGGTTCCAGGTTAACAGCACTAAACAACAACAACAACAACAACAACAACAACATTATTCTTTTAAATTTTGTAAAAAAAATTTATTTTATTTTATTATTTTGTGTGTGTGTACCATCAAATCGGATCTGACTGGTACAGGAGGAGATTGTCCCTCCTTCACCAGCAAAGCATCTGGTGGATTTGAACTGTGTACCTTTGGGATTACAGTGCAGCTTCTTGCCACTAGGTCACCAGAGCTCCCTAACAACAACAACAACAACATTCTTAAAGAAAATAAGCAGTAAAAATAGCTGCTTTAAATTGTGTTCTAAAGTACTTAATTTCCCTTCTCTCTCCTTTCCACGCCCCCCCCCCCCGCAAAGAAAAGGGCAGGAAGAACAGTAACTAATATTTATTTAGAAACTGGGCTGAGCCCTTTGCAAGCATTCTTGAACTTAATGTTCACAGTCACTCTGTGAATTAGATCCGACCCTATTGGTTTCAGAGCATGAAGTCTGGGCTGTGGAGGGAGCGAGTGACTTGCCTGACCTGGTCAGTATTGAGGCTGGGACTCAACTCAGAGCTGCCTCTAAAGTTTTGTCCTCTGCAGGGTATCAGCTAAAATCAGTTAATTTCAGAAAGCTCTTTGATAGTTCATGTAAGCCTGATAAAAGTGTGGCAAATATTTACTATATAAATGAATGCTCGTGGCGCTCCAGGGCCATAGTATCTGGTTGGATTAGAGACTGGTTCGAAGTCTCAGATCTAGGGCTTGACCGCTCTGAGTCTTGTGGTTTCCAGTGGAAAGAAGTCCCTGTTGGTGCCCTGACTGTCCACCCCAAGGGTTTCCTTAAACCTTCAGACCTACTATGAACCTGACCAGCTTACCTTGGTTTAGAGAGTCTAGGCAAAGAGCCTTTTGTTCCAGGAATGCAATTTAATCCACTAATGACATTTTTACTTTCCTTCAAAATACACTTAATTATTTAGTTACCTGTTAGAAAGTCAAATGCAAGTGGCAATCATGGTCTCTAATCAAAGAATACAATGGAGTCTTTTATAACTTGGAACCTTTCTTGATGGGGCTGAATTGTGTGTACTCACAGACACTATTCCATAGTTGAAAAGGTTGAAAAAGTTGAAAAGACCTTTTCAAACTATTTAGCACAAAGGGCATATTTTCTAATCAAAATAGTTAAGTAAGGAGACTACCCAGCAGAACAGCTTGTGGATTTGAACTGCATACCTTTGGGTTGGCTGCAACCTTATCTTTACCCACCAGGCCTAAAGAGCTCCGTCAAGGAAGCTAGGAGGAATAGCACATTATCAGGAAGCTTTCATCAGTTGCCAGTAAAGCTCGTGTATACACTGTTTCCATGTCTTTATTCATTTATGTGTCTATTGAGAGATATCTACCTATCAATATACATACATGTGTCTACATATCCATGTATCTACCTATTGCTTTTGAATAGATTTCTATTTTTTTTTAGTTTATTGGGAATTTGCTATAATCCTGAAAGGTGAAGAGAACTATGAATATTTCCTTTCATAAATTCTTTAATCATCAGTACATCTGTTTTTAATATACTATTACTATGTACAATATAGCACATTACTTTCAGGAAATGGGGTTTCATTTTATAAAGCACAGCTGGTGTTTTCCTTCTTGATTTCAGGTCTTATAAGGCTTAGTTGGGTCCTAGACTGATTCCTGGTTGGCTCTCTGTTGGAGAACGTTTCAAGGCTCTTGAAATTGTGACTCCAGGACCCTTGGAAAGAGTGAGGGCTACCCTCCTTTCCCTCCACAGCCCTGCAGCCTGGCTCTGAGCACTGGGCACCATGCTCTGTTTGACTATTTGAGAGAGCAGGGACATTTCTGCAGTGGGCAGAAATTTTTTTTTTTTAAAATTCCAAGTCAAATGCCATGTATCAATGCAACAAACTAATTAGTGTAACAAACTGTTAGTGTCAAGAGCCTCATAATAAAAAGAAAATGCACTACCTAAAATAAATAAAAATAAAATTCCACACATCCTAAGCCATGAAAGTCACTTAAAGATAAGACTATGCTTCTGTTGATTTTTAGACATTTTATTGGTTTTAACTGAAAGATAAGGCCTTATCAACAGGGTCATGTGGGCCTTGTGGTAGGCAGTGGCCGCAGTTTTGGGGAAAGATTTACAGAACCACACCCTTAGAGAGTCCCAACACTAACCAAGAATGCAGGATCCGTTCTCTAAGCATTGCTAATGTGAATCACACAGAGCCAACACAGGCCAGGATGCAACGCCTAGTCTTCAGTAAGTTTGTACATAGGCATTCCAGTGGATCCCACCATCTGCACTTCCTACATTAAAACAAATTCCCCTTCACCTGACCTTTCATCAGGGAGGAAAAAGGAAAACTTGCTCTGGGAAAGGTTCCACATCATATATCAGCACCCCTTCCACTTTAGCAAGACCTTTCAGAAGGGATTCCCTGTCTGGATTGGAGGTCAGAATTTCCTGAGGTGATTGACACTCAGCTCTTAGAAGTCTGTGTGGGACAGATCACACGGCCCTTGCAGGGTTACATCCCAAGATATTGTTGTTATGTACTGTCTAGTCAGCACTGCATAGCTGATCCTTCACCGACTTCTCAGAGGCAGCACATTGCACGGGAGGAAATTGCATATCCTTCTCCCGTGGAGCAGCTGGTGGATTCAAACTGTATGCCTTTGGGATTGCAGTGTAGCTTCTTACCGCTAGGCCACCAGAGCTCCCTAAGGTATAGTTACAGCTTCTAACATGAGAGGATAAATAAATAACCACCTTGGTTCTAAGAGAACACAGGGGGAAGGGTGGTGGTTGGTAAGGATGAGTCTTCACTTAGGACTATTTTACAAAGGGGGAAAATTGTTTACAGTTAGGATGTAGGTTAGGGTTGTGATGCATAAAGGAAAGAAGATTTCTAAAACCAACACTTCAAAACAGGAAATTTAATAATGCTTACCTGTTGGATGTCTTGTGTTGTTTCTGAAAAACAAAAGAGTTTGTCTTAAGTTTGAGAATTACAAGTGTATCTCACACATAGAAAAGTGCTAATATTTTCTAAGAAGTTTTATTCCTAATAAATGAAAGCTGAAAACTTCTGGGCACTTTGTGCTTTAAAGTTATTTCAAGTGTTCTTATTGTTGTTATGTGCCATCGAGTTGCCTGCGACTCATAGCGACCCTATGTACAACAGCCCTAAACCCTGTTCTACGCCTTGCCAATCTTATTGTCTCTGACACACCTATCTCCATTTCTCCAGTGACTGAATCAATCCATCTCATCAAGGGTCTTCCTCTCCTGTGCTGTCCTTCTACCCTCCCAAGCATGACATCCCTTTCCAAGGACTGGTCCTGCCTTGCAACATGTCCAGAGTATGTCAGATGAAGCTTCAGAATCCTTGCCTCCAAGGAGCAGCCTGGTTTCACCCTCTCTAGGACAAACTTGTTTGTTCTCCTAGCACTCCATGGTATACTCAATGCTCTTCTCCAGCACCACAGCTCAAAGGCATCAACTCTCTTTCTATTATCCCTAGTCATTGTCCAGGTCTCTGATGCATAGCAAGTAATTGCAAAGTATAATCATTCTCAATTATCTGAGTTCTAGATGACATACTTTACGTAAAACAGCCTTACATTGAATTATCTATTAAATTTCCGAAGTTATCATGTGTGTCTCATCTTTATGAACTGGTTAAATTACTGAGGTGATTATTAAGCAGAAGGAGATAAAACAATCCCCTACAAATCTCACCTCTAGAAGCAACCTGGGGCGGGGGGCTGAATGGTTTATATCTCCTTAGAAACCCAGCCATTGAGAACACTATGTGCACAGTTCTACTTTAAAAAGTCGGAACTGACACAATAGCAACAAGGCTCTGAGAGGGGACAACAGTGAATGGTTCGCTATTCATATTTCCAGGCTCCCAGCACCTGCCCAACACACACAGCACAATGCGCAGCTGATGCTTTTTCTGTTGACTGATGTGTGAGTTGATTGATGCTCTTGTCAGCAGATATATACACCTGCTTCATTTTCACAGCTGCAGAATACTGCAATATATAGATTTACCACAACTGACTCAATCATTTCCCACTGGATTAACTTGTTACCTCGTGTCTTCTGCAAATGCTGCCGAGAGCACACATTACACAGAGCTGGTCATTCTTGGAGCCACTCTGACGGCTTGTTGTTGCTGTTGTTAGGTGCTTTTGAGTTGAGCATGACTCACAGTGACCCTATAACAACAGATCTGAACCCGGACCTATCCTGTGCCATCCTCATACTTCCTGACACATTAGAGCCCACTGCTGCAGTCATAGTGCTAGTCCATCTAGTTGGGGGGGGTCTTCCTTTCTTTCATCGACTCTCCACCTTTCCAAGCATGATGTCCCTCTCCCAAGCAATGGCCTCTGCTGACAACATGGCCCAAATATGTGAGACGAAGCTTTATGATCTTTGTCTTCAAGGAGCACTCTGACTGCACTTTCTCCAGGACATATTTGTTTGCTCTTTAGGTAGTTCAAGGGGTATTCAGTACTCCAGGAATTGTGGTGCCAACCCAAACATACATGGTTCAAATCCACCAGCTGCTCTGAAAGAGAAGAGTGGGCAACCTCCTCCCATGCAATTTACTGCCTCAGAAAACCCGCTGGAGGGTCAGCCATGAGTCAGTTCTAACTTGGTAGTACACAACAACAACATCATTTACTTTTGAGTAAGTTCTTCTATATCTGCTTATATGTGAAATGCTTGGTTCAAAGTGAGAGCATATTTTACATTTTAATGAGTATTATAAAATTTTGTTCCAAACAAATTGCACAAATATACACTCCCACCAAGAGTACCACAGGCTGCTTGTTTCTCTGTGTAGTCTGAGGAAGTTTATAACCTTTTCTCTCCTCCTTCTATCTCATTTAAATGTGTAGTGGTTTGATCATTAACATGGTTGATTTTTGTGGTGTTTTTTTTTTCTTCTCATTTTATTGGCAATTTGATATAATACTTTTATAGTCTCAGCCATTTAAAGAAGAACTATTTGCCTCTTTTCAATGTATGGAATCTCTTGATGTAATAGGCATGTTTTTATACTTGTTATTTGTTATTGTTATTTGTTGTTACTTGTTATTTATGTTACAATTATTTTAAGTCTAAAAGTGTTACTTTTACTTAGAGACATTACTCTGAGTTCAATAAAATCTTTCAACCTGTATTTCTTTTGAAGTGTTTATTTTTTATGTATGGCTTGAGTTAACAGATGTTGACCAGAAAAAGCAAATAAAAGGTACTGTAGCACTCACCACTGGTCTTCATAACTTTATGTGATCTTGAAGATGGCTCTAGGAGTAAAGAGAAAACCAGAATAATTTGCAAAACCAAATAACTTTTTTAAAAGAAAATCTAGAATTAATTTATGAGCTTATTGACAAACTAATTGACATAGATATTTTCTATCAAATTTACCTAAATTCCCACTGCTTAGACATACTTATCAGCAAGATATTGACCCTGGCAAAAATCAGAGAGTAAATGCAACGCCTTAAAATCAGGCATCTTGTAACAGAAAAGCAGAACATGGCTTTTCTGGCACTACTACCAAAACATGCAGTCCCCCATTTTTTCTATACAAAACCCTCACTTCTCCCTCAAAATGGCAGGCCATTTACTTTCATTTGTGAGCCCCATGTCTCCCATTTTGAATTGTATCTGAGCCTCAGTAAAGGTTTTTGCTTTACTCCTGAAAGATACTGGAATTTTCTTCTATGACTCAGTCTGTGGGTTCCCAGGAATTCTGCATTTCAGGTACTACTATCCTAATCCAAGTCCCTACCATCTCTCACTGGTCTTCTACCAGGTCACCAGGCCTACTAGTTCTCCATAAAAAGTCAGAATACTCTTTCTTTTTTAAATACAGATCATTCGGGAGGCTGGACTTTATGAGGATGAATGTGGCATCAGGATGGGATAAAGATTCATCGACAATCTGTTATGCAGATGACACAAACTTGCTTGCTGAAACTGAAGAAGTCCTGAAGTGTATGCTGAAGAAAGTCAACTTTAGTCTTCAATAGTAATTGAAGTTCAACATCAAAAAAACCCTTCAATATCAAGAAAACTCACTATTGGGCCAACTGGAAGTACTATGATAAATGGAGAAGAGATTGAGGTTTTTAACAATTTAAACTTATTTGGGTCCATAATGAAAAATCTTGGCACCACCAGTCAGGTAATTAAAAGATGAAATGCATCAGGGAAAACCTACTGTCATGAACCTCTGCAGGGAGCTAAAGAGCAATAATGTCAGTCTAGAGACTAAGGTGCACCTGATCCAAGCCATGATCTTTGCAATTACTTGCTAAGCATCAGAAAGCTGGCCAATGACTAAGGGTGACAGAAGAATCAATGCCTTTGAGTTGTGGGGCTGGAAAAGAACATTGAACATACCATGGACTGCCAGGAGAACAAATAGATCTGTTCTGGAAAAGGTGAAACCAAGTTGCTCCTTGGAGGCAAAGATTTTGAAGCTTGCTCTATCTCATACAGTTTAGGCATGTTGCCAAAAGGGATTAGCCCTTAGAAAAGGACACTATGCTTGGAAGGGTGGAGGAACAGCACAGGAGAGGAAGACCCTGGATGAGATGGATTGATACAGTAACTGGGACAATGGGGGCTGGTGTGTCAGTGAGACTGGCTTAGGACAGGGCAGGCTTCAGAGCTGTTTTGAGTTGCAGTCAGGTTGATGATACACAACCACCACCACCACCACCACCACCACCACCACCACAACAACAACAACAATTGTGATTTAATGAAATTTTACAGCAAGATTGCATTTTCATTCATCCATTGATGTACATTTTCCTTTCTCCCTTTCTCTTCCCCTCAATTAATTCTATAATTGCACCCTTTGTTCCAGATTGTTAATTGTCATACACATAATGCTTAACGATACCATTCTTTTAAACAATCCTTCCCATCCTCTGTTCCAGTGCAGCGTTCATTATCTACCCACTCTCTTCCTGTTCTCCACTTCTCTATCCCATGTTAATCTTATTTAGAATAGTGGTCTTATGCAATATTTATCTTGCTGGTGATTGAGATATTTCACTCAGCATAATTTCCAGATTCATCCAGTCTTTACAAGTTCACTGTTTTTCAATGCTGTGTAATATTCCATTGTGTGAATGTACTACTGTTTTTCTAGCCATCAGTTTGTTGATGGGCATGTAGATGTCTTCTATGTCTTTCCTATTGTGGATAATATTGCAATAAACCTTGGTGTGCATATGTCTGCTTGCATCTTGTCTCCTCCTTCTCATTCTGAAGGCAAACATTCTCCTTGTTCATGCTTATTTAAGAGCAAGCTTCAGTCTCCTGTGACACACATTTTGTTCTTTTTCCTTTCTGACTTTCTAAGATCCTTTGGCTTTCTTCACGTATGATAATTTTGATATCCTCCTACAACTTGTCTCATGTTTGGTTATTAGTGTTGAGTGTGTCAAATCTATTCTCGAGATGGTATCCAAATTCAGATGGCATAAATTCAAGTTTGTGCTGTGGCTCTTGTGAACGTGTTTTTCACATATATGTTTTAATTAACAATTTGAACTTTCATATCAGCAGTTCATGGTCTATTTCAGTTCTGACTTTGTTCTGACTGATTATTTAAACATCACTATTTTCTCTTTCTATAAGTATGGTGGATTTAATTCTCATTTTATTTCATCTGTCCAGGTCTGTGTGTATAATCCCCTCTTAGGTTGTTTAAAAAAACTCACAAAAACACATTGCCAATGACTAAGCCATTGGTCTTGTAAAATTCTATCATGTGATGTCCTAAGTCATTTCTGTCACCAGGGCCATATTTTCCACCTAATGATCCTTCTTCATTCCCAACTTGTGCATTCCAATCATCAGTAATTATCAGTTCGTCTTGACAGCAGGTTTAACCAACTTCAGACTGGATGTTGTACCTGTTGGAGCAAACAGGTCTGCCATACAGAGGGTGAAACCAAGTTGCTCCTTGGAGGTAAAGATTTTGAAGCTCTGTCTCATATACTTTGGACAGTGGACAAGAAGGATCAGGCCTTGGAGAGAGACATCATGCTCAGAGGGACAGCACAGGAGAGGAAGACCCTGGGTGAGATGGATTGATGCGGTGACTGGGGTAATTGGTGTTGGTGCCAACCAATCTCTTCTCGTTTGGAATTAGTGGTTAGAATAAATGTGCATAATAGTTGCATTAGCTGGTGCTCTTTATATGGATAGTACCTACCACCCTCAGGACTGTACTTCAGGGTGGAAGTTCTTGAAATGTTCCGACAATGAGTGTAAAGCTGTCTGCCCTTTGATAGCCTTTCTATCAACATAGACCACATGATTGTCTAACTGAAAATGGATATCACCAGTCCATTTGGTCTACTGCCTAGGATAGAGATTTTTTTTTTAATTATTAATTTTAATGAAAGTTTACGGAGACTTAGGGTTTCTAGTAAATCATTGTGGTACTTTTCTCCCTGACCACCCCCCACCTCCGCAATTTACTCTTCGTGAAAAGTAAAAGAAAAACTCTTTCATTGTTATGCAATCCCTCCCCCCAAGTTCACTCCACTGTGCAGCCTTCATTCTGGACTCCTGTCATGACAGTAATACCCAATCATATGTTTTTGTTGTTGTTATGTGCCGTCGAGTCATTTGCGACTCATAGCAACCCTATGTACAACAGCCCCAAACCCTGCTCTATCCTGTGCCAATCTCATTGCCTCTGACACACCCATCCCAATCATATAACTCTTTTAAAAAGTTCTCTCCCTCATCTGTTTCAATGCAGTATATGGTATTTATCCCCTCCTTCTCTGTCTTCCCTTAACCTTGATGTCAGTTCCGTTTTACAACAGTGGCACTATGCAATATTTGTTCTAGGATAGAGGTCTTTAAGCATTCTACTTCATTTTTTGACAACTTCCAATTTTCCTAGATACATACAATATACATTCTATGTTTTAATTATTAATAGATATTTGCAACTATCTGCTCCATCCCCAGCCCTGACTCTGAGACATGATACACCAGCAAATGAAGGTCCTGAAAGTTTTACCTCATCCCAGTCTTTAAAACGCCAGCTCTCCTTTGAGGAAGCAGCTGTTCTCTAGCTGATTGTGAATGTTTTCCGACTGGAAGGCCTTCCCTTTGGACGCTGTATCAGCCAACGTTCCACTGCTACCCATAATGATTTCACTAGTCAGTTTCCAAACTGACTGGGTCCGTCCTCCTACTCAGTTAGTCTGAAGTTTGACTGAAAGCTGTCCATCTTGGGTAACTCAGATGGTTTTTAAACTATGCCCAGTGCAGCCTCCAGTACCACAGCATGATGCAAACCATCACAGTGAGACAAACTGATAGGTGAGTGATGGCTTTTAGTATTAGTTCCCCATCATTATGATGCTTTGACTACAGTATCCAACTCACCAGACTTTCTTCTCAGCCGATATGGAGTAGAGCCTTCCTTTGAACCACAGAGGACCTTCGACTCTCCCTCAGGACTATAGTAGAAACCTGGGTGATCTGTGAAGATAATCACACGCTAGAAAAATGAGGTGTCTCCACTCTCAGAAGCCTGTCACACTTCTTTTGGCTATCTGTTTATTCTTTTCCATCAGACATGAATACAATCCCTGTCCTCTAATTGATGGCTCTGAATATGTATTTTAGGGCCTTTTTGTTTACAAACAAGAAGAACTTTCAGGAGTGTTCTAGCAAGTTCTATGTTCTCTTGCTCTCTCTCTCCGTAACCATTTCTTTTTTAAATTTTTTTAAAATTTTACAGGAAGAGCTACAACACATAACTCTGTCCTTCCTAAAAAGTTAGCTGAAGTGTGTTTGATGTGGTGGCTTCACATTTCCAATTAGAATAACCTACAACACTGGGGTCCATCCAACACAACCCCATGGCCATTGTATAGGTTCCGACTCATAGACACCCTCCACCAAGTGTCCAAGATTTCCCGTTTTTCTCTCTTTATTCACAGAGCCTGTGGCCCGTCATCAAGTGCCTCGTGGGTAAACATGTAGAAATCCATGTAGTAGCATGCTGATGTGTTAGGATGCAACTGGGTCTGACTGCTCTATTTGTCAAACAGCATGTATCAGTTTCTTTTTCAAAATGGTAACTTTTATTTTATAAACTGGAAGGTGGAGAAATATTACAGGCAAGTAAAAGAAATCTCTCCAGATGTATAAAGAAAACAGAACTTACGAACAGCATCCATTTCCAGCAGGGCTTGCTTGGCCTGAAAGAAAGAAAGCCAACCTATTACTACAGTGATGTTTCACTCCCCTTTATAGGACTAATACTGACACAGACTTGATGACCGTTTACAGTACCGATGTGTATTTCTCTCATTTGAATAAGGAGTTTGGAAGGATCCAGTGGGGGCTTGAAAAGGCAGAGTAATGGTGGGCACAGACCAATAGCGATTAATTTTATAAAACTTAACATATGGGGTTTAGGGAGCTCTGGTGGCCTAGTGGCAAGAAGCTGCACTGTAATCCCAGAGGTACACAGTTTGAATCCACTAGCTGCTCTGCTGGAGAAGGAGGGGCAATCTCCTCCTGTACCAGTCAGATTAGATTTGACAGTACACACACACACACAAATTTTTTTTTAAAAAAAACACAAAAACTTAACTTATGAGAATGATCATATGAAACCTAACGTGAGTAGAGAGGAATGTGTGAAACAGTATATGTAAACAAAACACAATGTAGACAAATTTTGTATGCAAACTAATATAAAAGAAAAATAACTTTAAAAAAAATCTACCAAAAAACTAAAAAACAAAACCAGAGGATGACCACATATAACAAAATGTTGGGTAACTACATCATCACATAACTGCCGTGGCCACAGCCACACTAATACATTATCTCCTTAATGACCACAGCCTGTGATGTACATCATAATGAACAATATAAATAAATACATTTTTTTATTGATGCCACACTACAAATGTGAAATGTCAGAGGAGAGTTGTTAAGTAAAAAGCAGTAGTGTTTCTTTTCAGCATTAACGCTTAGGTCAATGAGATTTAACTAGATCAGCCCCCCATGATTTGTAAATGACACTACTTGATGATGAAGAGAGGAAAGAAACAAACAAAACAAAACAACAAAAAACATAAAAGAAAGGGAAACACAAATGAAAAGAAAGGAAGGGAATAAGACATACTTGTTAGAAGTTCATGACCAGCATCTTCTAAGCAGGGCATTAAAAAGTGCACTGAACTGGGATTTACTTCTTGGGGCAAAAGGTCTGGGATTTGTACCCACAAAGGTGGAGGATCAGCCAGAGTGAGGAAGACTCTGAACCAGAAGGACTGACAGTGACAGCAGCAATGGGTTCAAGTGTGTCAGAGATGATGAGGAGAGGACAGGGCTCAGATCTGTTATTCATAGAGTCACACGGGTCATACTTGATGGCACCTAACAACAACAACAAAAACAACAGCAACTCACTGTATCACCGGGACTTTATTCATGTTTTTGTTCATTACAAAAAGGTTGCCAGAAGTTTCTTCTAACTTCACTTTTCAAAAGTACTATAAATTGCAAATGCTAGGCTAAAAGAAAAAGAATTTTAGTCAAATTCTTCTGCAATCTGTGATATTATAGTAAAAATAGTTAGGCTGAATGGCAAGCATGTTTAATTAAAAAAGAAAAGAAACCTCACCCCCAACACATTCTGTTATTTTAATGTGCAGAAAATAAATGACTGTTGTTGTTGTTGTTGATTATTGTTGAGTCGACTCTATGAACAAAAGACCTAATGCCTTTCCATAACTATCATCATTTCTCCAAGTTCACAGTGTTTTCAGAGGCATGTGGTTTAGGAAGTGGATGCACTCCTGCTTCCCAACCTGTTTTACAACTGGGAGCTCCACCAAATACTGTCCACAATGGGAAACCATCATGGTATTTGATATCCCCATGGCACAAGGTTCAGCATCACAGCAAACCCAGGTTACCTCATTCAGCACATTGACAAAGAGTGATGTGCAAAGTGGAAGAGTGTTCCTCCAGATATAACAGCACTGGTCTCATTTAGCAGTGGTTAAGGGTTGTTGAATTAAATATGACTCAGAGTAACTTTGCACAAAAGAACTGAACTCTGTTCTATTATTAACATCATTTCTGTACATTTAAAAGAGAGTTTGTAGACAGTTTCCAGAGGCATCGTTTTGAAAAGTGATGTGTCTATCCTACCTCTGAAGTTTGAGGTATGAGTTCATCCAAAAGATAAATGCTAGCTCAATTTTGGTCAAGCACTTTTTCAGAATCATGTTAATATTTGAAATATAAGTACTTAAAAAAATAGCAATTCTCTTCTTTACTTTTAATTAAAACTTTCAAACCCTAAGTGTCCTAGAACTTGACTAAAGGAATGAATTACAATTTGTGTTCAGTGTAAGCGCCATACATGAATAAATGATATCGTCAATTGTGAGAAGATTCCTACTCTCTGTAGAAACCTGACTTCAAATACCTCAGTATCTCTGCCCCACCTCCTCTGAAGTCTTGACATTCAATTGTTAAAAGGCCGATATACATCTTTCCACTAGGTGTCAGCCGTGGACCATCATACAATTAAAGGACTGCGAGGGCCTTAATTAGATCTCATTCACCCCCCCCCCCATGTTTAAAGTTCCCTACACTTCCTACATTTCTAGAAAATATATTTTGAAAGCACTGTGCAATTAACTTTAAGAAGCTGTCCTGAGGATAAATGTAAAAAGTTCAATTTCCTTTATGTTTTCGTTGGGTTGCTTTGAGTTGATTCTGGCTCCATGAGACCCTGTCAGACCAGGCGAACTGTCCCATAGGGCCTCCTAGACTGGGGTTTCCACGACAGAGGACTTCCCGTGCTTTTCTTCCTGGAAGGAGATGGCAGGCTCCAACTGCCGACTGAGTGCTTAACCCCTGTGCCACCAGGGCTCCTTAACTTAACTATTCCAACTAAACTTATTGCTGTCATCTCATAACTGACCCTCTAATAGGGTTTCAAAGGCTCTAACCTGCCCAGGAGGAGACTGCCCATCTTTCTCTCATAGAGCAGCAGGGAGAGTTGAACTACCTGTTTCTGGGTTGGCAGTGCAACTCCTTACCCACTTGGCCAACAAAATAGAAAATGATGATAACATTATAATAGATATATGTCAAATAAGTACCTTTTCATTGCTCTGGGGAAGGCAGGCTCTGGAGGGAGGCAGACCTACCATGCACAGACTGTATCAATGTGGGCAGTGAGACTCTGCTTTCATTTCTCCACAATAGGAGAAGGCGGCCAGCCCTCTGAGGGGGAACTGGTAATATAAAGTATGCAGCCCAGGGTGTGTGTGCTCAATAAGGTGTAGTGGAAAACCACTTTTTTTTTTTTTTTTTAAGATTTTAAAAGGTCAGGCAATTTGGACAACCCCCCCTCCCCAGTTCTATTGTGATTACATTCACCATATTTTTTTTTTTTTAACATTCACCATTTTAATACACAAAGGAGACACAATCTAGAAGACACGCCCCTATTGTGGGAGAAGGCGCACAGGTATGTTAGTTATTCTTGTTTTGCAAAGGTCTATAATTGCCTTTAAGAATCCCCGTAGCAATTCTGATTTTTCCCAGGGCAAGATAAACAATAGGTGGGGAGGACATTCCAGGTGCGAGGCCAGCAAGCAAGTGACTAACCAGGAACCCAGCCACTTCTCTGTATGTGTGACCCCCGCACCTCACAACACCTCGGTGGCACCAAACCCGAGCTTCCGTCAGGACACACACCTATGCACGTTCATCTCCTGGGTACAAGGTCTCCGCTGACAACCGCAGGGACTAAGCTTCCAGGGCTTTCCAAAGCAGACAGCGAAGAGGTGCCCGCATGTCTTGGAAACCTCAGGTCTTGTGTTCCCCGCCCAGTTCCCCTCTCAGGCTCTTGCCATTTTCTGTTCCACCTCACTCCGCCTCCCCTCGTCTCAGACCTGTCCATCATCTGCACAGACAGCCAATCACACCCTGATCACTGGATCGCTAAGGCACTTTTCCTCCACTCCGGAGCCGCCACATCTCATCAGAGCCACACAGAACCTCTCCTTGCCCAGAGCTGTACTATTTTACAGCAGGGCCCCAGAAGCCCCTCTTCACGACAGATCTCTGCATTCCCGTCTCTTCAGGTCTCACGCCTCCTGTACAAGCTCCCTGACTTTATCAAGAGCATTGCTCCTTGAACCCAGCCCTGCACATTCCCAGCTGTGGGTAACCCAAGTGGGCCAGGCCTCCTGTACACTGCTTTCTAAGCTGCTATGCACAGATTTTACAATGACACCATCCCGATGATTCAGTGTGCCGCTTCAGCTGGGTCTTCGAAGTTTTTCACAAATTACTCATCCACAGTGAAGTCCTGGTTCATCACTGCTCAGAGCCTTGCCCTCAGGCACCAGCCCAGCCTTGCCTCCCTCATTCAGTGAAATCAAACCTTAATCCTCCTGAAGTCCGTTCACAGCTCTGCTTGTCTCTCATCTCCCTTCCTTCCTGCCTCAGAGAAGACACCTGTACACTTTGTGGTTCTGACTTCATGCTTTCCCACCTCCCTGGGCCTTGTGCCAGCAAACCTCTCCTCTGCCTTCATTGCTTCCTGTCTCTCTTAGGCCCACAGTGGTCTTCATCCGGGTAAAGTCTTGTTTTGAGGTTGGCGGTCCTCAAACTACCACTCTTTCACTTTTTTAAACTTTGCTGTTGTTTTTTGTTTAAAATCTGTCTTCATCAACTTTCCTCTGAGCACTGAGTCAGCCATGAAGAAGATAGAAGATAACAACACACTTGTGTTCATTGTGGAGGTCAAGGCCAACAAGAACCAAATCAAATCAACTATAAAGAAGCTCTATGATATTGATGTGGCCAAGGTCACACTTGGGTTAGGCCTGATGGAGAGAAGACCTATGTTTGACTTGCTCCTGGCTATGAAGTTTTGGATGTTGCCAACAAAATTGAGATAGTTTAAACTGAGTCTAGCTGGCTAAATCTAAATACAAATTTTTCTCACCATAAAAAACAAAACAAAACAGAACTGTGTCTAGCCTGTCCCTTCTTATAACCCTTTTCTCCTCAGAACTCCCATCCTCCCTTTTTTAAACGCTTACTCACCACATCTAATATTTGCAGCCTCATACCTTTCAGAGGGAGCTCTGGTGGCTTAGTGTTAAGAAATTATGCTACCAAAACAAAGGTATGCAGTTCGAATCCACCAGTTGCTCTGCACTAAAAGGACAGGTAATCTCTACCTATGTGATTTACTGCCTCTGAAAACCCACTGGAGGGTCAACGATGAATTGGTTCTGACTTGATGGTATACAACAACAACAACAACAAGGAAATTCCCCCTTCAGAGTTCATCCTCTGCTCTCTGCAGCTTTGAGACTGTTGCTCTGTCCCCTCCGGGTGAGCCTCTCTCCTCTCTGGTACCATCCATTCTCACACTCCGCTCAGATGCTCTTTCTCCTGCTGTTGATCAAACACCTCACCTCCTTGCCTATCTGTCAGCTTCCCAAGGGTTTCCTTTCCTTTGTAAATCCTTCTGGGCCGTCCTGTCAAACCCCAGGCTTCCAGTTACTGCTCCTATTAAGGTAAGTCGCAAACCTCCACCTTCCAAACCTGAATTTCCACCTGCAGCTGACCCCACCCGGCACCTGAACCCTGAGAGTGCCTGCTCCTTCCTCTCCTTCCAGCCTAACCGGTTCCTCCCTTTGCAGCCTGCCTCCCTCACACCAGGTTCTCAGGGTCCAAACCCTGACTCACTGTTGACTCAGATGCATGGACCGGATCCCTCCTTTCCTCACCCACAGCCCCGTGCACCCTCCTCCCTGCTGGGTTTGCTCCGTGGCCGGCCTCTCATCATTGCTGGCCAGTGTGATGGCTAATTCTCCCCTTATTCCCATGTCACGCCTCCCACTTTATTGTTTCAATGTCACCAAAGTTACACACTCAGAATCAAGTCAGACGGCTCCCTCAAAACACACACTAGTCTCTCCTCCAAACCCTCAGTATTTCTCAGCCCTAACATAGTCCAGGATTCTCAGATGATGGTGAATTTTATATGTCAGTTTGGCATCAAACACCAACCTACATGTCTCTATCGAAGTATTTCGGTGTGGTTACTATTCACAATCTATAGACATTATGTGAAGCAGAATTCCCCTAATGGCAGTGAGAAGGGGCTCTATCTAATCTGCCGCAGGTTTTCAGAGCAAAACCTATGGTTTCTCAAAAAGAGAGAAAAAAAAAAAAAGAAAAGGAAGAAACTCTGCCTCAAGACTGTTGCATAGAAATCCTGACATTTCCAGGCTGTGACTTCACTCACAGATTTCAGACGTTCCAGCTGCCACAACCACATGAATCAACTCCTTAAATCAGCCAGGCTATCAATTCCAGTCCCTATGTTTGTGCGTGTACATGGGTGGATAGCCAGACAGACGAAAAGCAGGATGGACAGAAAGCCTGCTGAACGTGCCTGGAGCCCTCTCTCCCTGCAGAGCCTCCCTCTCCCCAACTCCTGAGAACCGCACCCCCACTCCATTCAGGGCACAGACGTGAGGCCTGGACACACCTCTTCCTTCCTGTTCACGCTGCTCCCCTTCTCCTTCCACACACTTAACAAACTACTCCTCACCCTTCACACTGAGGCCGACTCTGGCCCTTCCCTTCCTCACTCAAGTGTAATGAAATATCTTTCCACAACACCTGGTGTTTACACCTACGATTTCATCACGCTCAGCAAACAGTAAATAAACATTTATATTGGCGCTCCTTCTCAGTGTCCCCACACTCTCTTAACTACCTTATTGTTCACAATAGATGCGGGGCACACCTCTGGATAATCTTAATAGCTCCTTCTCCTGAAATTTCCTGTAGTATTGTTTTTATTTTTTCTTCCAAGGTCAATATACTGACAATGACAATGACTCCAAACCTCTCCAGAGTCTTCCACTCCTGTCAGTCTTGTCAGGGTAACTAGCTCACCCCCCGCCACCCTATCTCTGCACGGTCCTCACTTGGGAAATGGACCGTTAGACCCGTCAGGCTCCATGTAGGATGTGAAGCCCTTAGATGCCATTGCCCTGCGTCCCGGCTTTACCTTGGCTGGAATCTTTGCCACGTGGTTCTCTAGGATCAGTCTCTTCAGATGCAGCACCCACAGACGCTTGTCTTGCTGGGATTTCGCCTGGAGAAGCAGAAGGAGTCAGGTCAAGCATATTTCCTCCCCGAAGAGACGCAGCTGGCTCTGGGCCCTCTGACAAGCCGGGACCCTCTGGGAAGGCCAGCGGGGCACAGAGCCCAGCACTTCATGAGACCCAGACTCAGAGAGAGGGTGCCCCATACCTGGACAGTGTGCTGCAGCTTGGGGTTCTTGTAGTGGAAGACGCTGAAGCTGAGGGGCTCCTTGGGGATCACCTCGACAAGCATGAGGTTGCCACACTGGATGGAGAGAGCAGACGTGAGTCCCATGTCAGGCCTGCACCGGAGCCCGTGCCCGCACAGCGCCCAGACCTACCAGGATGTGGGCCTTGTAGGTGAACGTGTCGTCTCTCTTCTTGGTGATAAGCAGCAGCTTGTCAAAGAGGAAGAGCGTCCGCTCGTTCTTGGCCCTCTGGATGCGGAAGGTCCCCTCGAGCACCAGCTCCCCGTAGCTGGTCAGGTCTGGCCCCTTCCAGTTGGTGAGCAGGCTCTGGATCTCCTGAGGGGACAGGGGTCAAGATAGCAAAAGGGAGTGGGAACTTGGGCTCCAGGCTCACTGGCGCCTCTGCCGGGCCTGGAGAAAGGCCCCTAATGGTTCATGGTGGGGGCTGTGCTGATGGACAGGGTCGCCAGGTGTGAATGGAGGCCAGTCTGCATGTTCAGGGGCGAGTGGCTAGTGACCCCTTTGTGGGCTGAACTCGGTCACTGCGGTGGCTGCCATCCTCAGCTATGGGCATCTTTCTCTTGACCTTCTCACTTCTTGGTCTCTCTGTATATGGTTAAGGTGCTTGGCTGGTCACTGAAAGGTTGGCAGTTCAAATCCACGGGCTCAGGAGAAAGGCCTAATAACCTGCTTCTGAAAAGTCAGCCACTGAAAAGCGATTTCTACCAGGAGCACAGTTCTGCCCTGACACTCTGGCGCTCGCTGTGAGTTGGAATGGACGGGGAGGCAAGCGCCGTTCCAGGTCCTATTTGACCAGGAGGTGACCGTCAGTGAGCCACCCCGTCCTGCGGGTCCCCGTCGCCCCTGGGCTCACCTGCAGGCGCACCGCATGCTCGTGCTTCCGCTTCATGTCGTTGATGTGCCAGGCCACCCGCTGCATCGTGTCGATGGCGTCCAGCACCACGTCGTAGCCATCTGTGGCCTGGTCGAGGTGATTTTCTATTTCCTTAAAAACAAACAGCCCAAAGTTTTCAGATTTCCCCCATATAATCAAGGAAATAACTCACACTCTTCTTACTAAACCCTTTGCCATCAAGTCACTTCTGATTGAAGGTCACCCTGTGGAACAGAGAAGAACAGCTCATAGGGTCCCCACCAGCCGCTCTGCGGGAGACGGATGGACAGACAGTCTCATCCTGGGTGATTTACTGTCTCTGAAAACCTGCTGGAGGGTTGGTCAGCGGTGGGTTGGCCTTGACTTGATAGCACTCAACAAAAACAACCACACAGGGTCTCCAATTTTCACTGAGGCACACTGCCTCGTCTTTCTCCCACAGACCAGCTGGAGGGTTAGAACTGCTGACCTGTCAGCAGTCAAGCAATCGAACCATTGCACCACCAGGCTGCCATACCACCATTATCAGTTCCTTATACTTTAGCTTTTTCTGCTTACACATGATCATCATTTCTTTTTTTTATTTTATAATTATATTTTATTAATTTTCATAAACATTTACAGAGATTTTGGGCTTCCACTCATTCATTGTTGCACTATTCTCTCTACCCTCCTCCCAGTTTGTTCTTGTCCAAATGCCACAGTGCTTGTCAAAGCCAGTTCTGATTAATCTTCTTTGTCAGTGTGTCCTTTGCCATTCCCTATCACTCCTCCCTGAGAGAGACTTCACCCTGAGTCATAAGGAAAAGGGGATGGCGTATTCTCCTAGCTACTTCCTGCTGAAAAGGGACGCTGTGGGTTTCAGGGTGAAGATCTTCTCTCACTACTCTAAAGGGCCCCTTTGGCAGTAGGAAACACATAGACTATTATGGAGATTGATTTTGGAATTTAGATGATCATCATTTCTTAAGATTTTGCACTAACTTCCCAGAAATACCCACAACAAGATGGTAAAGCTGGAATGAAGACGACTGAGAGAAAGGAGATTGGAATCGCAGGAGAAATTGTTCACCTTCTATCCTTCAGCTACATGGCACATGATGAACGCCTTAAGAAATGTTTACTGACTGTGGCTTTACTGAAGTGATCACCAACATGAGCTGGTATAGTTGGAGAGTTCTGAGTTTTCCGGTGGCCAGTGCATTATATTTTGCTCCTGTTTTTTGGTGCTGTTGAGTTGAGTATGACCCATAGTAACCTTATGAACATCAGATCTGAACCCGGTAGGTAACTTGTGGGTTGCTGTGATACTAAAACCTATGCTATTGGTGTGTCAAATGCCACAAGCGTTCCCCACGGTGGACAGGGGGAATCTTCTGGCAGCATTTATGAAGAGCCATGCAATTATTTTGCTGTCACGCCTTAAAAACACTTGTTAATTTTTATCAAGCATTCATGTTTTCCATCTAAAAAGAAACCGAGAGGGAGCCTACATTTCACGCCCATCACTGAGTGTTAGGAAACTCCCTTGTAACTAATGATACCATTTCATTACATGTTCAAGATAAATAGCAGATAGAGAAGAGGAAAAGCTGGCTGGCTGTGAGGCAATGCTGCTCACCGGTGAGGGCCGCACCGCACAGAGCATGTGGGGATCGTCTTAGATAATGATAAACTTTCCTGATGGGAAAAATCACGTGGAGAAGCGACGCTCAGTCAACTCTCAAAGCAGTCATAGTTCAAAGGCAACCAGAAGTCAGTTCTAGGTTAACCTAACCACCATTCTTCTTTATCAGCTCAGTACAGGTGAATAATGGCTGTTTCCTCCATCAATTCACTAGTGGTAAGACTCCTGACTTGTTATGTCTGACACGCTTAAGTTACTGAGGTCTTAGACTTTTCTTTTGACAGATGGCTACCTCAAGACCATGATTAAAGATTACTGGGCCATACGAAAGGCTGGCAGTTCAAACCCACAAACAGCTGTGAGGGAGAAAAGGCCTGGTGATCAAGTCCCATAGATTTTGGCCTAGAAAACTGTGGGGGACAGCTCTAGTCTGCTCTGTAGGGTTGCTATTCTTGTTGTGTACTGTCGACCCATAGTTGACCCTTCAGTGGGTTTCAGAGGCTGTAAACGGCACAGGAGAAGACTGTCCCTCTTTCTCCACTTGCCTTTGGCATTGCAGTGCAGTTCATTGCTTCTAAGCCACCAGAGGGCCCTGCAGGGTCATTTGTTTTTGTTGAGTATACCTTTGAGTCAGAACTGACCCATGGCTGACCCTCCAGGGGATTTGCAGAGGCAGTAAATTGCAAAGCACGAGATTGTCCATCTTTCTCCTGTGGAACAACTGGTGGATTTGAACCATGTGCCTTTGGGATTGCAACAAAGCCTCTTAACCACTAGGCCACCAGAGCTCACTAGGAGTTGGAACGGAATTAATCAGACACAGAAAGACACAGACACAAACACACAGACATGGACAGACACAGACCCCACACACACAGACACACACAGACACACACGTCTTAGACGTCTTATTCAGCAGAGAGCAGAGGGATGAGTATAATCTGATTTAAGGGTTGTTTGGACATTGATTTAGCAAATTAGTCCCACCCAATCTAAGAGGTCATTAAACCAGCCCAACATGCTGCCAGGAGTGCTTTCAGATCCAGGGCCATTCCCTAAACTCCCCGCCCCCCACCACTGGGTTTCTGAGGCCACCCATCTTAATGGGAGGACACAGCCAGTGGCCCTGCTGGTGTTTCAGTTAGCAGCACAACGTGTAACACACTTCCTCATCAGCGCTCCTTAAGAAGCCATCAAGATCCATCTGAATCATAAAGAAATATCCCTGATGTGGCTCCGTGGAACAAAAGGTCTCCAAAGATGAGCCGCCCGGCAAATGGACAAAAGTGAGAAATTTCTGGAAAAGCTTCATGATAGACATTTTAGCAATATTTAAACATATTTGAACTGAGCAGACGTGGAATGATTATCCAAGTTAGGAAGCTGGGATCATTTAAGAGGAGATGCAAACAAATCGCGCATGCTGACACAGAGAGGTTTGTGGGATGAAAACATGTATTAAAATCTTTAAGAAAGGAGCCCACTGCAGGAGGAAGAGTAAAATCAAAACACATCTCCATCTTACTGAGCTCTCGTCTCCACAGCTAACATGGCCAGCTGTGGGACATGAACATAGCATTCTGCTCTAGATACTATGGTACCTTCTCATGTAGCAAAGGGGAGAAAAATCCTACTTAGAGAATGACTATTAATCACATTTTTGCCGTATTTATACGCTCCTTCAAAAACAAACAAAAAAAAACAGAGGAAGGGAGGGAGAGGGAGGAAACTGTGCAACAATGAATGAATAATAATACTAATAAAAAGGAAACAAAAGAAGAGAAAAATGAGATAACCACTTTAATGAGAGAATTAAATAAATTGTGATAATTAAATGATAGAATGCCCTAAAAGAAAAAAAAAAATTCTAAATCTAAGACAAAAGCCTGAAAAACCAACTCCATTGTCACCACATGGATTCTAACCCTGTTGCGTGGCAGGGTGGGACTGCGTGCCACTGTTTCTCCGTGGCACAGAAGCAGATCACCAAATCTTCTCCCCATCATGCCGCTGGCAGGGTTAGTGGCTGAGAACAAACCATTTGTGGCACTTAGTGATCTGTAACAAATGCTGTTTGAGGACAAGAACTCTGGTGGCCTAGTGGTAAGAAGCTGCGCTGCCATCCCAAAGGCACGATGTTCAAATCTACCAGCTGTTCTGCTGGAGAAGGATGGGCAATCTCCTCTGGTGTGTTTTACTGCTTTTGAAAACTCGCTAGAAGGTCGGCTAAGAGTAGATTCTGACTTGATGGGACACAACAACAATTACCACAACAGTGGATGAGAAATGATGACTTGAGAGCTGCATCTAACAAGCTGCCATCAAGTGAGCTCTGACTCCAGGGGACCCCGTGTGCATCAGAGCAAGACTGTGCTCCCCATGGTTTCCGATGGCTGGCCTTTGAGAAGTTGATCACCTGGCCTTTCTTCCTAGTGTTCCCGGGTGGGCTTCTACTTCCAGCCTTTCCCTTAGCAGCCAAGCATGTTAACTGTTAAAACCATCCAGAGACACCTCTGCAAAAAGAAATGGGACTGGGCTTGAGGGGAGACTGAGAAAGACGGGATGAATAATGTATACTGCATTGAAACAGATGAGAGAGAGAACTGTTTAAAAGGGATATATGGTTAGGTAGTATTGTCATGACAGGAGTTCAGAAAGAAGGCTGTATAGTGTGGACTTGGGGAGAGGGATTGGAAAACAATAAAAATAAAATTTTTTTTCTTTTACTTTTCAAAAAGAAAAGCAGAGGGGGGAGGGTTGGTTAGGGAGAAAAATGCAACAATGAATGAATGGAAATCCAAAGTCTCTGTAAACTTTCATTAAACTAAAATTGTTTTAAAAAATGGGAAAGAAGCTACAGAAAAGCCAACCTGCAGTGAGAACACGCCCAGCTCCGAGAGCATTCTTCTGCTGTCCCTCTGTCTGCTCTCTTTCAACTCTAATGCAAAAGTCAGTCTCTGACAAATAACTTTCTGTCCCAGCCACCTACTGAATCTGGGCTTATGCCAAAGAAATAAAACACAAAACAAGTGTTTTTCATTTAGACAAGAGCTTGTGGCCTGAAACGGTCCCGGCCCAGTGTGAGGCTCCAGGTCCCCACGCCGCATCAGAATCAGAGCTAAAATTAATCTCTTCACTTGGCTCTTGTCAATGGGGCTGCAGGCCCAGCGTAGAAATAGCTCTAATTCCTCCAAGCGGATTAGTCAGTTGTAAAGTATGAGTGTGGAAAGCAGTTCCACATGTCCACTGCTGCCTTTCCTCGAGGCTGATTATCTGTGCCGCCCAGCGGCCCCGGTCCACCAGCATGTTCTGCCCCCCAGCGGCCCCGGTCCCCCAGTGGCCCCGATCCCCCAGCATGTTCTGCCCCCCAGCGCGCTCTGTCCCCCAGCGTGCCCTGTCCCCCAGTGCACCCTGTCCCCCAGCGCGCCCTGTCCCCCAGCAGCCCCTATCTCCCAGCGTGCCCTGTCTCCCAGCGCACCCTGTCTCCCAGCGCGCCCTGTCCCCCAGTATGTCCTGTCCCCCAACAGGCCCTATCTCCCATGCCCTGTCCCCCAGCATGCCCTGTCCCCCAGCGTGCCCTGTCCCCCAGCGTGTCCTGTCCCCCAGCGTGCCCCTGTCCCCCAGCAGCCCCCGTCCCCCAGCGTGCCTGGTCCCCCAGCGCGCCCTTTCCTTCAGTGTGTCCTGTCCCCCAGCAGGCCCTATCTCCCAGCGTGCCCTGTCCCCCAGCATGCCTGTTCCCCCAGCGCGCCCTGTCCCCCAGCGCGCCCTGTCCCCCAGCGTGCCCTGTCCCCCAGCGCGCCCTGTCCCCCAGCGTGCCCTGTCCCCCAGTGTGTCCTGTCCCCCAGCGTGCCCTGTCCCCCAG